TACCCAGACGTTTATATATATAAGACGGTAAATTATAAAATGTATTTATGTTATTTTATATTTATTTTCTCGCCGACTGATTTTTAAATTTGCACTTAGGTTAATATAATGAGTAAATAAAATTTTGTAGTTTGGATAGATTTGTACCCCCTTTTGTCTCTAAGACTTAGGTATTTCGAAATACTTGGATCGAAATCTTGATTGCAAATGTCAAAAATCGAAATTTCGAACGACTCCTATTTTCTAGCATATGATGAAAATGTCAAAATAAGACTTTATTTACAGTGTCTCAACAAAATTAAATTATTATATTTTATTAGATTTTAAACAAGTTTATTCAAATTATTAGAATATTTACTAACTTTTGACATACATTTTAGAATTCAATAAAAATTGGGTTATAGAATTCCAATAATTTGATAAAAGTTTGCCTTTGTAATTTTCTATACTTTCTTTTAATAATTCTTTTTTATTTATATTTTCTAAGCCTTCCTCTAATATAGAAGTTTCATAATAATTATTATTCATGACAAAATTATTATTTAGGCGTATCTTAGATATTAAATTTGTGTATTTTGAAGGCTTAAATTTCGAATAATCAAATATAAAATACCTGTTTTCCCAAGTTTTTCAAAAATTTCTTAACAATTTCATTATTGACAATTTCAATCAAAATTCTCGTCTTTAATTGAGAACTACATTTAGACCAGTGATTTAGTTTTGCAATGAAAACTTTTTTAACAGGATTTACTTCAAGCTTATAAAACGATCCATTATTCTTATAAAGATAATCAACTATTCTACTATTTGATTTTACATTCATTATTAAGACAAAACGTTCCTTTATTTCAACATTCTTTAAATAAATAAATTCTCTTTTTTCTTCCCAATCTTCTTTTATTTTTAATCCAACCTCAACCATTCTACCTTTGATTTGTATATTCAAAAGAACAACCAAATATGAGAAAAGACTAATAATAAATTTATTCATCTTAAATTTTAAAATTTAAAATATTTTATAATATACAAATAAAGTTTAACATATTTAACATAACTGATATTAAATGCTTATTACTATGTAGAGTCCTATAAACTTAAATAATAGAATTAAAGTTCTAAATAAAATAGCTTTTTAAAATAGAGTCCAAAAAATTGAATACATATTTTAATTATTTGTTTACCCTGTAAATAAATAGGGATGCTTTTTGAAAAAAGGCATTATAGCTTTTTCAAAAATTTCGATCTTAGACTTGTATAAACCAAGTTTTCGAACCTAATATTTTAAAACGGCTATTAAAAGCAGAGCCGAGGTACAAATAGGTACAAAAAACTATCTATATTGGCAATAAAATAAGTAAATAAATTTTTATTTTTGATTTTTACTATTATTATTTTTCTAAAAAATTGGATATTATAGGTGGAATTATTGAAGAAACTAAGAGAATATGCTTAAATTGCGGAGCTACAAAAACTATGCATTGGTATAAATACATAAAAGAAAATGATTTGTGCCGCAATTGTCGAGATTATAATCGAAAATTTGGAAAGCACAGGCCAAAAGAATTTTGGAATAAAATTAAAAAGGTTTATTTTTATACTAATTTATCCAAATTAATAATTAAAGTTATACTTTCAATATGAATGTATATGCATAACTATCTAAATAACTAGTATATTTCGGTATTAACGCATTATACCGCCACATTCCAAAAAAAGGATCCGAAAGGTTTTTTTTCTCTCGTCTTATAAAGATTAAAAAACAGTAAATAATTAAAAATGGCATAGATTTTTTGAATAAATGAAAAGCACTAACTCAGTTGGAACCAGTTATGGCAAGATCGAGTTATGCCCCGATATCTACTATGCATTTTTCAACATAACATTCTATGGTGAGGGAGTCTGTCTTCCAAACCTCCGGCCAGACAAAACTCGGTTTTGTAAATGTCGTCCTGCCACAAATGTTTGCTAAATTATATCTAAAATATTCTTGATAAAAATATTCTTGATATAAAATAAAAAATATTCTTGATATAAATTATATCTAAAATATTCTTGATATGCTAAATTATATCTAAAATATTCTTTCCCAATTTCTATCTTGATGCTTGTCCCCGGTTCCTTTTCTGTAGGGGTAGTTACTTTTCCTCCCTGGTCCCGGACCCGAGGTCGAAGGACCGTCAAGTCTGACTTAAATTTTTTTTCGTCTGAGAAGGGAATGTCCGGACATGCGTGCCTATTGTAACCTATTTTGGTGTTTTGAAACCTAAAATAGGCTGTAACCTATTTTAATGATTTTTGCATTTTTGTCACCTATTTTGGATATTTTTAAGGAAAAAACTATTTTTTATCAAAAATTTTCAAAATTTTTCGAAAAAATCTAAAATTTTTTAAAAATTTTGTCAATTTTTGCCGACCCGAAGGTTGACAACGTAAATTATGGCAAGGTGCCGCCACAGTTAGAAAGGAAGACGGGAGGGTTCGAACTCCCGAAAAATGTTTGAGTCCCCGGAACCCTTCTAAGTTAACATTTTCCCCTTAAAAAGTAAATTTAAAACAATTTACGAAAAAAATGATTTATTTAAAAAATAAATGAAGAAAATATACAGGGTGCACCATAAGTAATTGGACACATGTTTTCTCTCATAACTTTATTAAAACACAATCAAATAAAATCGAAATACAATCAAATGATAGAGAATTAAATATGGAACAATAATAATCAAGAAGTTTCGAAATGCCCACCCTTGGCTTTGATACAGAGGCGAAGGCGCGAAGAAAAATTTTCGCAAATAGCACGCACCTCTTTAAGTGTAATTAAATGCCACTCTCGGGTGAGAGAGTGTCGCAGAGACTCCAAACTTTTTTGAGGCCTAAACCATGACAGATTGGGGATGTTGGAAATGAGTGATAAGCTCATCGGAAAGAGGAGATTCTGTAGTCCAGATTCTATAATTTTGATGGTTGTGTACGATTTTTATTGTAAAAATTTTTTCGTCTGAGAAGGGAATGTCCGGACATGCGTGCCACTGAAGGAGCAGTTTGAATCCTGCAAGCCTAACTTTTTTTGTTTTGTCTGTTAGCAGTTGTGCTTTTTGGATTTTGTAGGGTATTAACCCTAGTTTATTTTTAGCTATTCGTCTGACGGTCCTCTCACTTATTCCGGTTTCACGAGCCACTTTTCTCATGGAGGGTCGAGAATTGCGATGCACCTAGTTTTTGATCATTTTAATATTCTTGGAAGTGCTGACGGTACTCGGTCTTCCACTTTTTTGTAAGTTCTTAGTTGTGCCATCATTACTAAATTAATTTCAAAAAAATTTTCTCCCAAAAAATTTTCACCAGAATTTTTTGAAAGTGTATTGTACAGTGCTCTTTGGGACATTCAAAAGAGGTGAAATTTTGCGGACTGAATTTTTTTTCAAAAAAAGTGAAATTATAGAATCACGTTGATTAGCCATAATAGAGAATTGAATGAGCTAAAAAATAAGCATAAAATCGATTAAAAATATTGACAACAAAAAAAGTTATAAGGAATTTAAAAGTGTCCAATTACTTATGGTGCACCCTGTATAATTTAAATTAAATTACATTTAAAAATGAATAAATTAAAAATATTTATTTACGGGACAAAAAAAAGGGGGAGAGGGGAATAAAGCAAAATTCTTCTTTTTCCAATAATAAAATTGCAATAATGATGGGGACAGAGTTGAAGACGCCACAGGAAAAAGCCAAGCCAACATCCCTCCCAGCGTTACTTTACTAAAAAATAAAAGATAATGTTATGTGTGGGTGGGAGAAGGGTTGTCCGCTCTTAGAGCGAACAACGGAGAAAGGAAAGAAAAAGTTGTTCGCTCAGAGAGCGGACAACGAAGGAAGGAAAGAAAAAATTAGTTGTCCGCTCTAGAGCGGGCAACGAAGGTGGATAACGGAAAAAATGTCGCTCGACCCTCCGGGTCCGCGACACACTCCCCCCTTCAGGAAGAAGCCAATTCCCCTAAGGTTTTCCCAATTTCTATCTTGATGCTTGTCCCCGGTTCCTTTTCTGTAGGGGTAGTTACTTTTCCTCCCTGGTCCCGGACCCGAGGTCGAAGGACCGTCAAGTCTGACTTAACTTTTAAACAAAGAAACAATATAGCCTGGTAGAGTCCCATAGCGGTTACGAGGATACAACAGAAGTTGATCCACAGGGAATGTAACGAGCTCATGAACTCTCCTACTTGCCTTTTCACTTGTCCCAACCCGTCGAAACCGAAACCATGTGAGTCTGACGAAACTGTTCTCTCGACTTTGATTGAAGACCATGTGCCTATTGCCTGAGAATGAAGTCCGGGCAGCAAGAGCTCCTCGGACCGATTATTATAGACAAAGTTATGAAAAATCTGGAGGTGATCTAATTCTTCAAAATCCACTTTCGACATCGTTGGCACGTGTATTTTTTCAGTGAAGAGATCAATTGTGCCGTCGAGTTGGTCAATGAGGTATATTTTCTCGTCGATTTCTATCGCCAGTTTCCTGTAAACGGAACAAGGGGCTGATTGACTAGATTGACCCAAGACGAGAGTCTCTGGGTCGAGAAATCCTATTTTGCTTATGTTTGAAGTCATCGACACTTGTATAAAACGATAACAGTTTCCATTAGTTTTGATGCTTAACATCGAAAACGGTACGCTGGCACAGTGTGTAACTTCGACTAACGAGTGAGTGAACCATCGAGCATGCAATTCTTGGTTCTTCAACAAGGCTCGCACCCAGAGGGTAGGATCCAATGGTTTTAGGTTGATGTCCTTTCTCTTTTGACATTCCTTAAAAAGGGTTTGTCGGATCGTTCTTTGTAATTTAACCTGCCCTGCCGTACTGATCGCCGCTATCTCTTCTGGCGTTCTCCATTCGCTGCGTTTCGCTCTGCGAGACCTTATGAAGTCATGATCACTCTCTCTAATAGCAAAACCTTCGTCTGACACTATCAATCTTTCGCCACAATTATTAATCTTGAGGTTGTTTCAGGACCATGTGAGGGAATTTTCTCCTGACTCTTCAAGAAATTCATTCTTCCACGCTTTACCAAACCAAGACCAGCCATACTTATAGGAACAAGGTTCGCAACCTGGTGTGCGACATTCGACTTGCCACACGAGTAAAGAGTCATTCAAGTTGCAAAACCCATCTTCGTAGTTGCAATGCTGAACGTCGAGTATCGGAGATGACATCGACTTTGTACCCATTCGAAACAAATCGGTACTGACTAGTTCACAATTTTCGGTCGTATAATTTCTGGGTCCATTCCACCATGAGCTCCATTTACCGGGGTATTCTGCCTTAATAACGTTCAATGTTCGGAGGACTCTACCATTACCTATTAACTTTCCGACTTGACACTCCTTCTTTTTTCTCATTCTCCTACACTCCTCGGAACTTATGGGTAAATATTCCCTACGCTCTTCGGGAAATTTGTCCCCCAACATATTTTGGTACAATTCTACAGTATCCCTAAATTTCCGGCAAGCATAGCTTCCGGACACACGGTAAGGTAACCTGACCTTGTCGAAGATGTCCAGTGTGACATTTTTCCCAGGGGAAGTATTCTTTATGTCCGCACAGGATACCGTGGGTACTCTCCAGTATGACTTTATTTTGCTGCACAACAAAGCTCGCCCAGGTATATCTGCAAGGGAAGTTCCCCCAACAAAGTGTGGGAACAGAAATATCAGAGATTTTAATGCCTTGAAGCCAAATAATTTTCCCACCACCAGAATCATTCCTATGAGGCCTATGATATCCACACCATTTTCGTTTTGTTCCTTTCCAAGAGGTTCCGCGTAGGTCACCGAGAGGAATCCCAGAAGGGAAACCACAGTTAATAAAGCGCTAGTTGTGACCCTGCTCCAAACTCTTTTAATTCTCCGTGGGCGCAAAGGTACCTGGAATAGACTCTCAAAGTTGATTTCATCCTCCTGGAGTCGTTGTAGTTTTCCCAAAGCCATAGATAATTTCGTTAAGCCACCAGATCGTACACATCTTGCTGTATTGGAGGCATATTCTATAGGTCCAACTGATGAAGGGTCTAGAATCACAACTTCATATCTGTTATTGTTTCCAGTGAGCTTCTTAGGGAAGGCCACACCATGAAGAATACTAATTGCCGTGGTTTGGAAGTCGAACTGGTGGAGGAATTGGAGGAAGCCTACGAAGAGTTGCCCAAGGGAATTGTTGTTTTTGGATACGAAGTTTGAATTAGCTTCTTTGGGTAGCACTTCTTCTTTCATAAGATAATATCCAAGAAGGAATGTTATCGAGATTGAATTGAAACCTTCGTTTCTACTGTTATTCGCTCCGATGTGTTTGACCCAAGCCTTGCTAAAGAATGCAAGAGGAATGAAACGTGGATCATTGGCGGTCCAGTTATTAATAAGCGTGGTGTGTGTGGAGGCGTTGTCGTTGCCTACTGTGATGTCGATGTTCAGAGTTGGCCTTCGTCGTCCCTTTTCCATATATTTCATTTCGAGTACAGGCACTCTATTACTCGGAATAACATCGATGTTGTAGAAGTCGAATTCTCTCCTGCCAAAGACATGTTGGAGACCACGAAGAATCTCCAACTTTTTCTCTACAGATAGAGGTTTCGTTGTTGCAAAGGTCAGGTCGAGGTCGGATTCAAATGCAGCCAACTGAGTCGATGAAGAACCAGTAACAGAAGCAGTAGTTAGTTCCGGATACCATACCTTTCTTTCCTTTATTGCATCCTTGATGATCTTAAACACTCGTTGTTTTCTCTCTGTCTCTTCATCGATCTGTTGATGGAACTCATAGTAGTCTTCAATTTGTTGAGACAATTTGTCGACTTGATTCCCTATAATTGCGGCTGAAATATATTTTGGGATTAATTCTGGATTACCACGTTGGGTGACGGAGTCACGCCAACATTCGCCAAAAGCATTAGTTGAAGTCTCAGCCATATTCTCATCCCAATTCTGTTGAGGAGGTCGGTTCTGAAAGTTAAACGAGCGGTCATTTTCACTTAATTTTCTCTTAAAAACTCTTACTCGGTCTACTGGTTGAGAGGTGGACTGTTCCATAAAATCGATGTCCCATGTTCCGTCCTGAAAGGAACGAGAACTGTTATTTAAAATTATTTTTGGATCCCTTACTCTATTCACGTTCTGGAAAGCCTGTGGTCCCCGATTCTCCTTTGAAGTTCGATCCTGAAAAGAACACGAACGGTCATTTAAACTTTCCTCAAAAACCCTTACTCTTCCCACGTTCGGAGGAGTAGACGGTCCCCATCTGCCAGCCATTGTTCGGTCCTGGAGGGAAAGCGAACGGTTATTCACGATTTTCTCGAAAACTCTTACTCTTCCCGTGTCATTTGTAGTCGACGGTCCCGCACTGCCTGCCATTGTTCGTTCCTGGAAGGAAAACGAACGGTTATTTGTATTCTTTTTCAAAACTCTCACTCTATTTGGCCCCAGCGACTTTGACGGTCCAACAATTCCACTGCCATTAGCACCACCCAAGTTCCTGTTCTGAAAAATTAAAGAGCGTTTAGTGTTAGTATTATTATTTCTCTTAAATGATCTATAAGAATGTGAAGATAATCCAACCTCTTTCTCGACTTCCGGAGGAACATCGAGTCGTGACCTTTTCTTTGTTGTTGGTCGTTCCACTGGTGGTGCAGGAGGTGGAGGAGGCGGAGTTGGAAGTCTGAACGGCGTTGGAGGCTGGTCGTCCTGTGCTGCAATTGGGCCCAATTCTTCTTCTTTTAATGGAAAGCCCGGTATTGCTGCCCTTAACGTTCCGATGTAGTCCAGAATACCTTTTGCTGTGGGTTCTCCAACTTCATTTACGAACAATGGGTAGGCGTTGTTCTGACTGAAGCGCGGTTCCAACATCCCGAAGTTGAATCGGCGAGCCGTAACAACGAAAACATTTTTCAAAATTCCCCATTTTGTGGGATGGGAATGTACGTATGGTGGCAGAGTGACCAATACTCCACGACTTCTATATTCAAAATTGGTCAACAGGTGTGCTGTGTCGTCGATACTTTTCTTCCTGAATTCTTCATCCGTCAAGTTGTTATTCAGCATTATATATCCCTTCCCTGTTGTTGTTATTATCTGTTGCACCTCTGTCCCTATTTGTATGACCCCCCAATCATGGGCCCCAAAATTTGCTGCCATACCATCCACAAATAATCCCTTACGCTTCAATTGTTCGTTAAACGAGTCACCCATTATCATGATGTTTGCAGTGGCTCGTAATGCTGGCTGACGACCGTAGAAGAGCTCGTGGCGTTGGATGTTGATCGCTGTCTGGAGAAAGCGATGATGCCTGCTGCAGAATTCTTCAGTTGTCCGTCGGACTTCCGCCGAGGCGGTGTAGTCAATATATTGCCAATCGAAGTTTCTGAATTCTGGTAGATGGGCCGGTCGAACTAGATGTTGTCCCAAAGCTGCTTCTGCTACCTTACACTTCCTTCTTACAGAAACCACATGGGTCCAGTCTTCTTCCTTCATAAGAGGTGGATTTCTTCTCGACCATCTAAAGTGTTCGTTGGCGAAATGTCTCCACAACATCAGAACATTCCTCCACTCCGAGTTAGCATCCCGAAGGAATACCAACACCAAACTTCGGAGATCCGATCGGCACACAGACTGGAATATTGCCAACAGAAGCAGAGTTGTCACTGCAAACGGTTGTTGAGTGTTGACAATGTTGTCCATGGGCTGCAGTCTAATTTTCTCTCGAATCCTCACCGGCCTACGAGGTAGGAGATCGCCCAAAACCACTCTCTCACAATTCTCATGTCCGGTCTCCCCTGGGGCACATCTATCATTCCATCCCCAATCTGTTAAAATGATTCCATCTGTAGCCTCATGTTGCTCTACTTGCTCTTCTTCCATGTCATCTTCGTAGAGGTAAACGCCGTCCATTCTGTCTGTAACTGAAATATTAGTTAGATTAGCTAAAGATATATTATCCTGGTTCTCATGCATTTCTAATAGGTACAGATGTGATATTGATCGGTTCGTTATAGTTCCTCCCATATTTATCCTAGCTGATCTGACTACTCCCTTAATATCGGAATGTAACTCTATAATCTTCGCCAATCTACAGTACTTACGGGCATGGTCTGAGTCATACACGATGACTATGTCTCCCACGGTAGGTGTGAGACAGGATTTCGTAGGCTGCTTCGAACAGCTCCTTTCTCTCAAAGATAGAAGGTAATGGTTCATCCATGACTTCCGGAATTTTTCGAGTTGTTTGCGAGAGGCAAGCAACTGTTTTTCTAGCCTAAGGGCTGCGTCATTCCCGGGTTGGTATTCCTCTTCACAAACCAAGACTTCTGGATTCAGGGTAGGCACAGTAGAGTGTTCTTTCCAAGGGAGGAGTAAATCTATGGGCCTAATTGGTTTAAAGAGTTCCCTTTCGGAACGAAAGGTAACGGGTCGTTCATTCACAATTTTCGCAATCTCGCTCATTAAGGTGCGCACTTCATCCAAATTTAGCTTGGTGGATTTCGCAGCTACGCGGTTCAAACAATACTTAATCGGGCCTATTAGTCGCTCGTAAACCAATGAGTGAAATGGGGTGCTAACTGAAACAAAGAATTACGGCTGGTGGAGCAAATGACCAAATAAGAGATGACTTTTATTCAAGAGGTTAAAATGGAAATGAATGTAAATCCTAACATGAGAGAATATTATGTGAATTTCATTAAAGAATTGGAGAACAAATGGGCTACCACAAGTGCTAACTGAAACAAAGAATTACGGCTGGTGGAGCAAATGACCGAATAAGAGATGACTTTTTAGGTAAGATTTTTTATTAATTATAAATGAATGGATTTTTTAAAATACAAATACAAGTTGTACTGAAAATTATAGCTATCGAACGCGACTATAAATTACAAAATTGCGGTAGTATTCAACTGTCGTTAGTCCTTTGATGAATTCCATGATTAAATTAAAAAATCAGACCAGATATTAGTCTATTAACATATTCCTACATCACACCCTATTAAAATTTGATTTAAATACTTTCAATTTTAAGAAGAACCACAAGTGCTAACTGAAACAAAGAATTACGGTTCAATTTTCATCGACAAATCAGACCATAACTTAATAGTCACCGGAAGTGTTTATACATATATAAATAAACCAATGAGTGAAATGGGAATTCATCTAATAAATGAAGGGATTTATCAATATATTAAGAATTCTTTTATTTCTGATCAACTAAAAATGCGTTATGACAATATAATTAATATGATGGTATACGGAATGATGGGCTACGGTACTCAAGAACTTATTTTACATGTTTTTGAGTTAAAGCAAAGAATAACTATTGGATTAACAATACCATTTGCTCTTACTAATTTTATTCAAGAGGTTAAAATGGAAATGAATGTAAATCCTAACATGAGAGAATATTATGTGAATTTCATTAAAGAATTGGAGAACAAATGGGCTACTGCTGTTTTTGAATATTTAGCCTCTTTATATGATCATGACACTAATAAAATAATAATTAAAACAGAAGACAATGAAGAGGAAGGAGAGAAAGACGATGAACATCATTATTTTAAACTTTTGAGTGCAAATACATTTTGGGTACAAATTAAAGGAGTAGAAAATCCAGCAAAAAGATATCGTACGGAAAATGATTTGGCGATTGTTGCAGCTGTAGGAGATGCAAATACAAGTGCTCATTTTTTCACTGGAAGCGGATTAAGCACAGGCAAGCTTTTAATAAACTAGAAATTACTTTTATTACAAGAAAAGATTAAACCAGATTTTTATTTATCTAAAGTATGAATAGGTATGCCCAATTTATTAAGGACAAAATATGTGAAGTCTGCACATTTAGATATATCTGGTACCATAAGTATAATTCTTTTATGGTACCAGAAATATCTGAACACGAATTCTACTATAACATCTTTTCCATATATTTGCTGCAAAATTTATATTTTTAATAATTTTTAGGTCGATTGGGTGTCGAAAAAGCAATTTTGAAAATTAAAGAGTTTAATAGGTCCTCTGACGAACAGCTGAATTTAAAAGATATGATACAAGAGGCATTGAAAGAAGTGCGGAATCGTGTGCTCGAGAAAACTAAGGAGCATTTGAATATCCTTCCTGGCGTATATGTTGATCAAAACTATTAAATGGTGAGCATATGAAAATTGTTGAGGTTTTAGAAAATGAATGTGTTTATTGAAAGTTTTTGATTCATTTTTTTTATTTTGGAATGGGTGTTTTTGGCCCTTTTGAATTTTTTTTGATTTTGGGTATTATTTAAACAAAAAAATGTTTTTTATTACATAGAAAATTTCATTTTGATTGAAGATTTGAGATTTAAGATTTGTAAACGAACACGAACTGAGTTTAAGCCCTATTTGATCGGCTTTAACCTTTCGATGCTTGAACCAATACAAATAAATCTTATATCATTCGAAAGCCCTCAATAAGAGGAATTTTTTCCAACTTTCTGTTTCAAGTATGACCATTCGTTAAAAAGTCATAATCGAATAAATTTAAAAAAACACCATAAAACTTGCCTTATTGTGTTACTTTTTAATGAGTGATCAGAGTTAATCTATTATATAGATCTATTATATCTCCAAAAGTTAAATTCAATCAATGGCGGATGGCACTCAGTTTGTGGGCGTATAACCGCTAAGTACCATTTTCTATTATATATGAAAGTTCATTTAATTTGTAATTTTTTTGCTTAAAGGAATGATTGTTTTGTTAGATTGGAAGTTCGACAAACCAGCTTTTAAAAAATTCATTTGATATTTTACCATATGAAAATCCATTTTATTTGTCATGATAAAATTTCTCCACATTATTAGACATACATAATTAGTTTCTTTAATTTAGGTATTATTTAAATATTTATTAAAAATACAAATTCTGCTTAAATGCAGACCATGTCAATAAGAGGTCAACTCCTATAATTTGCTTTGATCTATTTTTTAAACTTTTGTCATTTTTTAATCGTAAATAGAGTAATTTCGAGTTTATGGTTTATTACAAGAATAATACAATAAAGCTGTAGCAATGGGAATAGGAGTAAATTAATAAGTATGTAATGGAGTTGAATTGCCACAGCATAATTTTGACGGGTAGTGAGAGAGACTGATAATGACCTTGTGAGTAAAGATGATCGAATTAAGTTAGTTAGTAAACCGAAAATGTCTGAGCCGCAAGTGTATGGGCCGAAATTGTCGGCTATTCGACAGTTCGTCAGATAAACGTATATTTAAATGAAATCAATTTTTATTCATTCTATTTTTTAAATTTAAATAATTAGGCGTTCGAGCATCTGATAAAATTTTTGGTTTTAACAAGTTATTTAATGCACATTTCAAAATAATTGAATAGAAAAATTTGAATAGATTGTTGAATAAAATCTTTACTTAGATTATTGAATTTTTTAAATTACTGATTTAAATTTTAAACACGAATGTGTTATTTTTTTATTCCATGAATTAAGAGCCATTATTTATTAAATCTAAAACTAGTAAAAAAATAGGTAAATGTTGAAAGGCAAATAAATTTCTTATGTAAGTGCTAGACTAAGACAATACAAAATTATCAGAGATTATATGTAATCTTCTTAACAATATTAATTTTTATTTAAATTAACAAAAGTTCGTATAATTGTCATTAAATAATTGTTACAATTAATCTTTTATGAATAATAAATCAGACTTTTGTTTAACTCTTTATATATTTAAACATTTCTTGTTAAATTTTTGGTATTCTCTTCTTTGTAACTTCTTTCCTTTGTTTACAGCCACACGAATTGCATAAATAGCTTCCTGTTGTTGAATCACGGCGCCATTGTATTGTTTGTGTAACTCCGCAAATAAAACATTTACGATCGTCCTTAAATTACTTAATGAGAAGTTTGTTTTTATGTGAAGTTTCATTCAATGCTAATTTTATTGGTTGATTTAATAAGGATTAATTTCCTGGGTATAAGCGTATATACACCTACGTTTCTCTTTTTCGAAAATATTAAGGATGCAAATAAATTGCAAATAAATCTAGAATGAAATTATCGTATTATATTAATAGGATGGTCCTATTTAATAGAATGGCTCTTTGGGATATGAGAAAATAGTACGGTTGGCCAATCTATCAAAGATAATAAGGCTATTTAATATTAGCCTTATTTGCATTTGACCATTTTTAATATTTTTAAGAAGGAGAAGCATTTAAAGAAAGAAAAGTGTTGACAATCTACATAGTTGTTCAAAACGGGTACGGCCGAAGTAAAAACGGGTACGGCCGATTTTCAAAACGGGTACGGCCGAAGTCATAACTTGCTTCAAAATTTCCGAATCTTACCAAATTAGGTATTAAACGATTCCTCTCATCGAGCTAAAGAGAATGGTACTGTTACGTATCGACTTGCGGTGTGTCCAATACTAACAGAAAGACTAAAGACTAACTGCTAAATAGTCACTCGTTATGACTATTTATGACTATTTTACTACTTTGACCTTTCCTTCTATTTTGAAGTTCGAATTGCCTAACCCGACTCCAACAAACTGACTATAGACTAACAACTAACTCCCCGACTACTAAAAGGCTTCGCCTTTTATACTAAGCCGCCACCCTAACAGGTACCAAAATTGTTAAGGTCCATAAATTTTTCAGGTAGTTATGGCTTTGCGCCTACTTGGCCGCGCGCCTACTTGGCGTGTCCCGTTCAAAACATGATACAAATAGGAGTTTTAATATGGTTATTATCTATATCAATATAATTATTATTAGTGCCCGGATCCGGCTGATTTTTCCGGAGTACGGGTTCATATATCCGGAGTCCGGGTTCATATAAAAAGGACGATTTTTGACCTTTGCAAAAATTTTCGCCTGCGGCGTTGAATAGAATGAATTTTTTTGATAAAATTGATGTTTTTACTCAATTTAATAAGATTGAAATGATTTGGCTGATTAAGGGATATAAATGGATCTGGACGGACATCGAAGGCAAAAAACCCATTATGCGAATGTACAGTACGATTACGAGCAAATTTCATAATTCTAAACACTGGTGAAATTTCAACCACGAATTACTTTATTTTCGAAATTTTTAATCTCGATTTTTCTTCTTGCACTTCGAAAATTTGCAAGACTGGCTTATTGCACTTTGAAAATTTTTAAAATTTTTCGCCTACGGCGCTGAAAAATCATGTAATCTTGTTTTTTTGCAGTCAAAAAGTCAAAAGTTGATTAAAAAGAGTGATATCGGCGGTTAAGAGTGATATCGACTCCGAAAATAATATATTTACTATCGTTTACATAATGAGAAGTTATCTAACGTTAGCGAGCCAAAAAATATTTCGATTATATCTCTATCGGTTCTGAACGTCTAAACAAACTTTCAGTATGTTCAGAATTGATTTAAAAATTCCTTTAAAGAGTTCATTTAAAAAGAGAGTTACCTTTGTAGTCTTAAACCATAATTCATTTGGTCTAAACTTTCCATATTTGCGTTTATATGCACCACATTTTTCGCACAAATAATGTTCTTTTAGTAAACTATGCCACTGTTTTTTTTGTGTAGCAACACAATTGAAACACTTTCGATTATTTACTTCAATTATTCCAACTATAATAATAAATGAAAATTTTTAGTCTCATGAAAAGTTTGACAAAGTTAAAATTTAATTACTTATTTTATTGCCAAAGTAAACAATTCTGTATTTTAATTCTTTCGGATATTCTACTTCTTGTTTTCCTAACAATTCAATTTTATATCCAATTAAATTAATTTCCGTCCAATAACTTGATAAAAGTTTGTTCTTGTAATTTTCTATATTTTCTTCTAATAATCCTTTTTTATTTATATTTACTAAACTTTTTTCTAATAGTGATGTTTCATAGAAATTGTTATTCATGATAAAATTATTATTTAGGCGAATCTGTTTTCCAAAGCTTGGCAAATATTTCTTAACAATTTCATTATTGGCCATTTCAATCAAAATTCTCCTTTTTAATTGAAAGCTAAATTTAGCCTTTCCATTTAGTTTAACAATAAAAACTTTATTTACAGTATCCATTTCAATTTTATAAAAGGATCCAGTATTTTTATAAAAATAATTAACTATTCTACTATTTGGTTTTACATTCATTATCAAAACAAAACGTTCTATTATTTGAATATTTTTTAAATAAATAAATTCTCTTTTTTCTTCCCAATCTTCTTTTATTTTTAATCCAACCTCAAACATTTTACCCTTGATTTGGATATTCAACAGAACAACCAAATATGAAAAAAGAATAATAAATTCTTTCATCTTAAATTTTAATATTAAAAATATTTTATAAAATAAAATAAAAGTAATCTATTTAACATAACTGACATTAAATGTCTTGTTGTAACTATATTACGTACGATAAACTTAAATAACGATAATCTTCAAAATATTATCGGTCGGGGTAGTCGTACTACCGATACGGAATATCCATAGATACCGTAAAATATAACCGTAGAACGATATGGTCCGGCCTCTATTAAATAGAATAAGAAATAACGGGGATTTTGAGGTAAAAAATCCTAAATAAAATAGTTCTTAAAATAGATGCCAAAAAATCTTTTTTAAGTCTTTTTTTCTTTTTTAAGTTTTTTAAGTCGTTTTTAAGTCAAGTTACACATTTTTGAATGAAAATTATGGTGCTAAACTTTTGGTGCAAAACTTTTGAACAGGGCCATTTTTACTTTTGATAGTTTTTATTTTAAAACTTTTCTCGGGGAATAAACTTTTGTTTTGATTTTGATGATAACTAATAGTAGCTTAATTTTTTCTAAACTAATTGGTTATATAATTTACTAATTTTGAATAATTTATAAAAAGCCTTGGTCATCTAGCTTGGTGCAATACTTTTGAGCGGCAATGTATGTATGTTAGGTAAAAATATAAACAAATAAAAAATTTTTTGACTAATTATATTAACCGCGGCAATTGACATAAAGTGCAAATTTTAAAAATGCCCTAAATGGCTAAATAAATTAATATAAAAATAAGGCGGTAAATTATGAAATCTATTTATGTTATTTTATATTTATATTCTCACTGACTGATTTTTAAATTTGCACTTTGGTAGTTTGGTTAAATTAGTAAATAAAATTTTGTAGTTTGGTTAAAATCCCTTTGGTTTCCCTTTGTTATGCCGCATTTCCCGCACCACTACTTGTACTTGTACAAGGTACAAGTACAAGGAATTGTTTGTCTGGGAGGTGGAAACCTGCTACACCCTTTGGTCTCCCTTTGATCATGCCGGCATTTGGGAAATTGTTGGGGGCGGGGGGTGGAAACCTCCTACACCCTCTGGTTTTTGCCGTCAGACCCCTCTCCCTCTAAATATCCCACTAACAAGTGGGACATTTGGGGGGGGGGGGGGGTAACTACTTACAAGCTCAAATAATCTCTTTCTCTCTCTCTTTCCTCTAGGATATTACACCATTCCAGTATCCCTCATAATATCCATTTAAATTTTTTTAAATATTTGTTTATTTAGCTGACAAATTAAAATTAAAACGTTCAAATACACTTAAGGTGATTACGGACGATATCATGGGATGTGGCGGTATATTGAGGTATCATCCTTATCCCTCCATATAAGCTCTGGAGGGTTACCTCAACAAATCCCACTTAATTTCCAAATAAATTAACAAAAATAGAAACAAAATAGAAAAATTTATTAACAAAAATAGAAAAATTTAGTTTAAAATATTTTTCAGTGTATTTTTCAGTGTTCAGTTCAGTGTGGTTTTCAGTTTTCAGTGTTTAAGAAAATAAGTTCAAAAAATAAAATCTTCTCAGACCAATGTAAAAACGTCCATTTTCTGTGTGCAATATTAATGTGTGCAAAAATGTAATTTTAACAATAAAATTTTTACTAAATAATTTTACTAAATAGATTTTTACTAAATAGAAATAAAAATTCAAAAGCAAAGATTTGTAATATGTTCAAAAAGGAAAATAATAGAAAATTGTAAATGATAGAATCTAAAAGATAATTTTAAAAAAATTCCTCAGCAGAAAAAATCGAAATTGTAAATATCGAAATTGCTTCAAGAAATTTTGGTTCAAGTCATCAATAAACAGACTATTCTGTGTCACTTCCTCCACGTTTTGAACTTTCTCCTTCCTCATAATTCTTGTACATAGAGAAAGGCCATTGTCCCACCAAATGATCAAAACCATCCGCAAAAATAGTTGTTATAAAAAGCTCTACAGAAAATATTGTAAGTGCCGGTCCAAGTAAAACACATTCTAAATGTAGCTGACCATAACACAATTGTGCAATAATTTTTGTGACTAGGCAAGCTTTTCTGGCCAATTCTCTCAATAAATCGTTTTTTAAATATATTGCTTTTTCTTTAACATCATCCACATTATTACGAATAAATTCAATTCCAGGTAATAATTTTATATTATCACTTGTTGTCTTGTAATCATATTTAATTTGAATACCCTCCTTTACCAATTCCTGAGAAATTAAAATTACTAAGTTCAAATAAATGTCGACCGATCGAAAACTTTTAAGATTATAGGAGTTGATATCCCACAACTCCTAAATTATTTTAATTTTTAATAGATTTAGGTCGTGGCCTTTCTTCTTAGGAAAGCTTTTTAGATATGTTCGAAATAGAATAAACATCGAAATTTAAATAAATTATCACAAAAATTTTAGAATAAATTGCATAATATGCAGTAAAAATTTGCTACCTTTATTTTTGCAGTTAAATTTTGTATTGCCTTTTCATGCCAGTTTCTTACTGCCTTTTGGGAAAATAAGGGATTAAATATTTTCTGTGCGTCATGATTCACTACAGTTTCATCAACATAATAGCAAATTTCATGATCTTTCTTATATAATGCCTTCAAATATTCAGAAATTCTGGGAAATAATTTATCGTAATCAAGAAAGCCATTAGCCTTTTCATTTCTTATTTTAGACAAATTATAATCTATATTATCAGCAATGTTGCACAAGTGAGATGTCCATGGCGAATCTACATAGACTCGTTGACCAAGTTTGTTGCAAATTTGGCGAACATTTTGCAAAATTCTCACATCAAACATATTCAGAAGATCAAAATTGTTTCTATGTGTACGCCCTATATTTTCAAATTATTTTAATAATTATAAGCTTTTAAAGTATAATTCTAACGCCCAATCATTAATTTTGGTTTTTATGGTCATGAGGCTAAATGTCCGCAAGTTTTTCTTCAAAAATTTTAATTATTACTGGGAACAACATTCAAATGCATGTTTTGATGCAGATATGACATGATGTGAGAAGCAAAGAAATCGTGTTTTACATTTCGAGCACTTTAGGGCCCGGTGCTGAATGCATAAGTACTTCCATGCATATTTGCATTTCGGAGCATAATCTTTTTTTATTTATAATAATGATGTTTATATTTAAAAAACTGTTATCCAATTATTAGTATTAAAATGTGTTAAAATTTAAACCTTCTAAATTTAAGTTTTCCATTATGTCAACAAGGAATTCATCTAAATTTTAAAATTCAAATTCAAGCAATAATAAATACTATGAATTATTTACCTGACAAAGATCTAGAATTAATTTGTGCAGTTATTAAATCTGTCAAAATTAATTTTATTCGAATTTGGTAAAATTATTTGCGCAAATCTAAATAAACCTGATAATCTTTCATAAGGTGGTTGAGATGATTGACCTGTTAAAACTTGATTTTTTATAAAAATTTTTAATATGTATATGAAAAATAAACAAGTTGTTTCTTCATTGTTGAAACGATACTACACAACTAAATTTCTAATATAATCTTTCAGAAGCCTCATAGCTATACTTATTTAAACGCTAAATATTGTAAACTATGGTATGCAATATTAATAGAATATGATCGAAAACAAAAAAGCTTCTTCTTAGCCTATATTTAAATAAAGCACAATGATTCCTTTGGGAAAATATTTTATTATTATTTTTTAAAATTATTTATTTTAGATTATTTATTAGTCAAAACGATTTAACGAGAAGTCCTACGAGGATTCTATTTTTCCAACGATATTATTTAAATTATGAAATTTTACCACCTATATTCATTCCTCCAAATTGAATATGTATGTCTGGGTTATACTGTGAAACATCCTCATCCCAATTATCATAATGATTGCTTGTTTGTCCTTGTGATGCTGTAGGCATTTCTTGCCACATTTCTTCAGTATTATCATATTCTCGAAATCTGCCTTCATTTTCATCATCTTCATATTCCTCTTCACATACTTCTTTTCCATAATGATAATAGTCTGTTTGTCCTTGCGATGTAGAAGGCATTTCTTCCCACTCTACCCCAGTATAACGATGTTCTTGTACATCGCCTTCAGATCCATCTTCATTATACTCTGTTTCGCATTCCGAATCTTCTATCGCTTGATAATCAGATTGATTTACGTTTTGATCCCGAAAAAAGCTATTGCAATAATCACAAACACTATTCCAGCAATGATTTATGCATTCTCCAAGATGAAGGTCCCAACAATTTTGTGGGCATAAATTTCCTAAACCATTCCAGCATGAATTGCAGCAAACATCCCAGTAACCATTTTGCTCCATTCCAATAAATAATGGAGATAATAGAGAAAAAATCAAGAGAAAAAACAGCATGATTCTCTAAATAAAAGATTTTTATTTTCAATTTTTAGAGCATCAGGTGAAATTGTTGAAATTTTAAAATGTCAAAAAGATTGATTTCTTTATTTTTGACTCCGCAGCAAAATTTTTTTAGATGACCAAAATAATTTTTTCAAAAATAATGACGTCATTAGGAGTGCAAATCGGTAAGCAAAATCCTTTACCTAAAGATAGAGAAACTAAAGTTTTCAGCTAGGGGATACCCGAAAAAATAGTTTTATGTAGCTCGATTTAGGTATTTTATTTAGATTAATTTATTAAAAAGAATTTTTTAATGGATGAAGGTAAATAAAATTAATAAAAATGGGCAAAATTATTGGTTTATATAAACAACCCAAAATATTAAGTACATCTTTTATTGCGCAAGGCTTTCAAATCTTGATTCGAAATTTCGATCTCTAATATTGTACCGCTCCAAAGACCAGTCTTAAATTTAGTACATCTTTCGAATCTTTCTTCGAACCTTCGATTTTGCTTTAATATTATTTCGTACCGCCCACATCCAGTTCAATGCTAATGACAGGGAAAAGACTGCCATTATTTAAAGTAAAAGTTTATTTGTACTCCCAGTTTTATTAAATCTATCAATAATCTATAGATTAAATATTTAAAATTTACAAAAGAATGAATATGGGAAAGAAATAGATTTTAAATAGATTAAATTAAATAAAAGTTTTTTTGGGAAATTTTTGGATTTTTCGATTTTGTTTTTCTGGGTTTTTAAATTTTATTTTTTTTTAATATTTATTTTTCCTTGTTTAATGGTTTTTTAAAGTTTTTTTTGATTTTTTGATTATTAGGCTTTTTTGGGTTTTAGTTTTTTAAATTTTTTTGTGTTTTTTTATTTTATGTTTCATTTTTAAATTTAAATTGTACAATTGTTATCTGTTGAATTTCGCATTTTGACATTAAATATAAAATTTTAAATTTAAGCTGGACCTCAACAAATAGATTACCAGATTTTTAATGTCAAAATGTGAGTATATCAAGTATAATTTTAATAATTTTTTTAGCCACTGGGGACCTAGCATAAAAAACTGCTACTCCTTTATAGTACCCAGCACACTAAAGTAAATCCTCTTAAACACATCTCCTTCATATCTTTAACCTCCTGTTAATTAATTTTGGGCCACAGTTTTACTTCCATTAGCAGACTCAGTCAGAATATTATTTGATCACTTGGAACTAAAATTTTTTAAATTTCTTTCTAGCAATGCTCATCTCATTGTTATAAAAATTTAACCCTGTTTAACTAACCAAAGTATTAGCGGAACTACTTAAACACTACCCTCGATTCAAAAATTTGTATAATGAGGGGTTCTTCCAATGAGGTCTGATTGTATTTTTTGAAGAAATTCAGTCAAATAAAAGTTTATCCCTGGGTTCGGATAGAGAAAATTTTTAGTTAAGTACAAAAATTACAATTTGGAATTACATACACTGGAAAAATAGATTTTGTTGGGGTTTTTCTTTATTTTTAAATTTTATGATTTTTTAAATTTTGTATTTTTTTGCTTAATAGATTTTTGGTTTTTATAATTTTATGTTTTTTTTTTGTATTTTTTGATTTTTAGGCTTTTTTTGTTTTATTTTTTTTAATTTTATATTTTTTAATTTTATGTTTTGTTTTTGAATTTAAATACAATTAGAGTTTCGATAAATAGAAGAATATTAAATTTTAAAAAATCAGTTTAAAATCTAAAAGCATAAAGCGGTATTTAAATTAATAAATAAATATTTAGAAACGAGAAACTAAAAGAAAAAATTTTTTTCCATCATTTTATCATTTGAAAATCGAAATTTCGAACCAAATCTACCGAGATCTCTCAAAAATTTTTAAGGTACAAAATTTTAAAGGAATTTCCCAATTTATAGACTTAATTTTTAAATTTTTATTTGTCAATTAAGAAAGGGTACACAAAATTTGCAATTTTTGTCAATTGCCATAATTAATATTATAATTAGCTAATAATATTTATACTTACATTTGTTTATCTCCCCTTTATACCCTTAACATTTATTTAGTATTTTCTAATTGGACAATATTTAGTCTTAAAACCCCCAAAAAGTTTTACATTTCGTTTAAAAATTTTTGGTCGGTTAATTGAGCCAGATACGCTAAAAGGTTGCGGGTTTTGATGGTTTCAAACTCTTACGTGTTCTGAATGAGTGCTGGATTGATGAAGTACTAAAAAAATTTCAAATTTAAGTGGTGGGTATTGGGCATTTTGTGGCTCAGTCACCCTCTTCAAACTTTGTCTAAACTCCGGACATAGTAAAATCGGTTCCGAGACTTTTGCGTGACATAGTATATTTATCTAAATCCTATTGAGTTCCGTCAAAAATTTCCGATTTCAGAACATTTTCTCATTTTTTGTTAGAAACTTGTTCTATAAAAAGGATTTTTTCACAAATTTTAATGAAGATTTTAATTAATAAGCTTTTGTGTTTAAAACAAAGAAATTTTAATTGGAAAAATTTTTTCAAAAAAGAACACAAAGAAATACAGGTTAGATTAGATCAAGATTAATATTTAAATTATCTATTTAAATTATATTATCTATTAAAACATATTATCTATTTAAACAATTATCTATTTAAACAATATTTAAATTATCTCCATTTTAAAATTTATATTAAAATTCATTTTTATATTGGTTTAATTTTTACAAATTTTTTTCAAAACTTAATACGGTATATTGTTTATTGTTCATCCGTTGATTGAAAACAAAAATATTTATAATTAAACAAAATTACTTATGAACAGACTTTGAATATTTTAAATATGCAATAAAGAAAATTTTTTACGCATTAAACATTCATGAAGTGTACAATCTTAGTGATTATTGTGTTTTAACTTTTACTTATCTTGGAAGAGACAAAATAATGAAGTAGTTGATATACTGAAAAAATATTAATATCAAAATAAAAAATAAAGTACAGAGAAAGTGGAAGTGTATATACGAATATAAATTACCCTATAGCAGAGATAAAAGGAATGGCCTCCACCGATAAAACAAAATAAATAATGCGTAATTAGATAAATTATATCTATTAAATAAATATTACCTTTTATAATAAGAATGTTGGAAATTTAAACACAAATATGTTTGTTGCCGAAAAGACAAAAAACTATAAATAGTTTAGAAGATAATATTATAAATTAAGATATACTTTATAATTATTTGGCAATTTGTATTCTGTCATTAATTATTTATCAACTTTTGTTTGCAAATTAACAGTTTTTGTTATTTGTTAAATTTAAATTGATTTTTTCAATGATTTCTTTTTTATTAAGTACATTATTTTAAAAAGAATTTTTATTTAAAAATAAATTTATAAAAACTAACTTCAAAATAAATAATCGAATATCTTTCATGAGCTAATGAGATAGACGTTAGATACTATAACTCAATGAAAACTTTATCGAATAAATTTGTAAAAATGGAAAAATTATCAAAGTAATATACATATATTAAGAGATTTATTTTTAGAATATAATTTTATTGTTTGAGCATATGCAAAATAACAGAAAATGGTTATTTTCTAGATTTATTATTTTTTTAATTAATATTTTAGATTTTAGATTACACACACAAGGTGTAACTTGCTTGTTTTATAATATATGATCGCCGCTTTCTTAACAATATACGAAGACTAAATTAAATATATGTACTTAAAATCAATATTTTGTTATAATTATTTATGGTCAAAATTATAATAAAATTAACTAGTATAATAAGCGTTACATTCAATTAAGTGAATGCTTTTAGGTATATTTTGGGATAAGAAATTTTTTAATATGATTTTTTATAATTTTTAAAAATAATAAAAATAAATCTTTTAGATTTTATGGTATCGATCAATTTAAAATGCTAAAATAAAATATAGAATAATTTTCCAATAAAATATAAGCAGAAAAAATTGAAAGGTACTAGTGCGATTTACACATAAATTACAGAACACGATGTTGACCTTTTCAAAATAAATGGACAGAAAAGTTATTCAATTGATTAAAAAAAGAAGAGAATTCTGTTGTAAAAATTAATATAATTCAAAGTTTATTTAATAATAAAGTTATAAAAATAAACTTTTATTATGACGGTTATTTCTATAAACATCAATTGCATAAGAATATTATATAATATAATGAAAATATTCATGAATTTTATGTGTAGAACAAGGAGCATTTGATTTATATTTTCCAAATCAACGTCGCTAAATCATCAGGAACTTTGGATGAAGATTTGCGATTTTATGTGTCAGATATTTTTAAAATTTTTCGCTCTTTATTTTTATAAAAAACTATAAAGGAACCAAATTCTTTTACCTTATAAATATTTTGATTTTTATATTAGTAATAAAACAAATATATATCCAGAAATAACCAATAATAATAATTATATGCGCGAATACTATAATTTTTATAGAGTTATTATTGTTTGGGCTAAATTAAACTATGCTCTAGTAAGGAATGCATATATGTAGAACTAGAAAAGACCCTTAATGGAAAATTATTCAAAAGTTCCACAATGATTATAATACGAAAGGGCTGAAATAACAATAATAGCAATATAAAAAGTAAACATCTATAAAAATCGAAGAAAATAAGCTAATTTTGTAAAAAATATTATCTAAAACTTATTCTACTTTACTAAAATATATTAGGTGCGGACATAATTAGTGGCCGTTTTTTAATTTGGTTTTTTAGAATTAATTTCCTTAAAAATATTTTTTATTTTTATACCGAATCATTTGTCAGTGTATTTTCTAAAGGATCCCAGAATTTGGAAATTTTCGGTTAGGTATTCAGGGAGTTCTGATCGAAAATGTCAAAATTTTCGAAATCTTCGAAAATCAAATTTTTTCGAGTATATGTAATGCTAATATTTCGTGTAATATATCATTCGAAAGCTCTTCAAAATCTCTACCAGGAGGGCACTAAGTCGAATTTTTAATCCGAAAGGTCTAAA